TATATATGAATATATAAAAAATATATCAAAATGCGTGTGGGTATTCAAATGAAAGCTCTTGATGAGTGTAACATCAGGATGAGCTTATATCTTTAAAAATATCAATATTTAATAAAGTACAATGTAATTTAACAAAAATCATTATTTAATGAAATAAAATTTTATTTATTTATAGGTCACAAGTCACGGCAGTCACATAGTGACTGCAAGGTTGTTATTATTATTAATAAAAAAATTTTTTTTTGTATTACAGACTTCAACACCTACAGACTCCAGTGGTTCGCTTTCAGAAGTAGAAGTCCTGTGGCTAAATGCATTATTCGGTCGAATACTATTCGACTTACACAAATCACCAGACATGATAAACGTCCTACAGGATAAAATCCAGCGAAAATTGTCGAACATCAAGCTCCCGTATTTTATGGAAAGCTTGATGATTTCAGAGCTGGTAATTGGTCAAGGAGCGCCATTCATCCACAAAGCTACCAAGCCGGTGGTCGATGAAAGAGGCCTGTGGATTGACTTAAATGTCACTTACGAGTGTGGGTTGACAATGACAGTCGAAACCAAGTTGAATTTGATGAAATTGACCCGAGCTGGCTCTGTAGTAAATAATCCTAATGACAGTAATGGTAATGAGTCGCCCAAGCCTGCCAAATCTCCAATGTTCGATAGTGACGTTGAAGACAGTCCCGAAACCTCGACTGAAGATGAAGAGAGCATAAATGTGCCAGCTAGTACTCGAGAATCAACGTGAGTGATAAATTTTTTTTTATTCATAATTTATAATTTATAATTGAAAAAAAAAATTTTTTTTTCTTATAATAGACCCTCTCAATCTTCCGGACGAAAGTTTCTCAGCATGGTCGATAAATTGGCGGCGAATAAATACTTTCAACATGTGAGTATCCGGAATTTAGTGGTGTCACTTAGTCACCGAGTATTATAATTTAAATAGCTTAAACTAATCATATATACCATATGTAACTGACTGCATCTTTAGCTTTAGCTTTAGTAGAGCATAAATAATTTTTTTGGCAAGCTGGTCGTGCGAGAATAAACGCCGAAATAGTCTCGCATCTTGCAGCTTTACTCCAGATGCCGGCGTTGACTCTTGTCTGGTTAAAAAAAAATCAAATAAATTAATATTTAATTTTTCTATGGTTCATAGGCTGCCGAGTTGACTTACGTACGCAGAGCGATGGAAGGAGTTTCTAATACCGAGATACGATTAATGGTTAGCGTATCAAGTATAGAAGGATGTCTGTCTATCAACATACCACCACCTCCATCAGACCGAGTTTGGTATGGCTTCAAACCAATACCCAAGATAAATTTAGACGCCCGGCCAGCTGTTGGTGAACGAGCAGTCAACATTGGCTATGTTACTAATTGGATTAAGACTAAGCTGTTGAAAGAGTTTGATAAGATTGTTGTTTTGCCAAATATGGATGACTTGGTCATACCACTTGCTCCAAATTATCCGTATCAAACTTCGGCAATTTAAATTTATTTATTATTATTTAACATATTTTTTATTTAATTAAAAGAAATTTTTTTTTAATTGAAAAAAATATTTTTTTTAATACAAAAATTTCACTGCGAGTTTTTTCACCATTTTTTTTAAATCTATTGATTATAAAACACTAATCATGATATATACCTATGTATTTATTTATCCACACGGTGATAATATTTTTATCATGTGATATCACTTTAAATTATTTTTTATTAAATTATCAATTTTATTGTGTACATAAATTGAAAATATTTAAGTGAGTGGTCTGCTATCGAATGCTTGCAACGAAGAAACATTGCTACGTTTTTTTTAATCAATTTTTTTGCATTATATTTATTTTTAAAAATAATATATTTTATTGTACTATTTATTTTCTGCTAGTCACATTGGGCAGCAGTTTAGGTGTTAAGTGTTTGACGATGTATGTATTGTAAAAATACTGTTTTACATGACTTATTAAATGAAAAAATGAAGTTCAGCTGGACCAATCAATCAATAAAGATAAAAAGTTAGAGAAAATAAGTACGCCAAAGGAAAAATATATGTACGTAATTAATAACTCACGTAGCCAGAAAAATACGAAAAAGAATGTGGAAAACATTCATATTATTGTTCTTCGTGTCTATTTTCCATGTATTTGTTACTGAAAAAAATATTAATAAAACTATCTATATATTTCTCGAAAAAAAATTTTTTTTTTATTAATTTTCCTTTATGGTATTTATAATAATAATAATAATAATAATAATATCTATTATAAAAAAAAATGTTAAAGGTGAGGTTTAAAAAAAATAATAAACAATACTTAAATTAATTAAACATTAAATTTTCTCTTTATTTTACAAGCATATGTATATGTATATACGATCATAATTCCATCTCTTAAAACTCTTCTTACAAATCAATATCACAGTTTGGAGATCGACAACTTATTCTCAAGGTACTCTAATATGTACACTCAACAAAAAATAATAATATATAATTATTTACACTCTCTTTACAGGTTTATAAAACAATAGTTTTAAATATTCTCTTAAGAATAAATCAATTGTCTTTTTTTATTTTTTTTTTTTCAGCTTTTGAGAAAACAAGGAGCACTTTGGAGTTCACGAACAGCTTCTGCCCAGGCTTCGAGTCTGGGGGCACAGGCCAGGGTGAGATCACCAAGTCTCTTTTTGGCCATTATCACAAATTCTCCCTGTCCATGTCGCGCATCGCAAGCTGTTGGTAGCCTCACTCTAACTTCTCGCTGAAGATGAAGATCACCTGAGTCTATTTCATTGTCCTGTAAATAAAAATTCAATATTAATTATCATTTTTTAAACAAATAATAAATTTAATTAACTTTTTAAACAATTAATAAATTTATTTAATTTTTTTAACCAATTAAATTACAAGAAAAATTTATTTAATAAAATTTAATTTTTAGATTTATTTAATAAAATTTATTTTTTTAAAATTAGCAGACACTTAAAATTTTTTTTTACTTTTTTTATTAATTAAATTATAACTAAAAAAATATTTTAAAAAAATTGCACCTGTTGTTTATTAAATTTTCTTCAAGTGAAATTTTTTTTTCAAATTTTTTTGTTATAAATTTTGTAATAAGCAAAATAATAAAAACTATTATATATCTGCTAACTTTATTTGCAGAAAAATTAATGATAATTTTTCTATTTTTTTTCTTCATTAAATTAGAACTAAAAAAATATTTTTTTAAAAAATTTTTCTGAAATTTTTTCTTCTATTTTTTTTTTTAATAATTTTTTAATAAAATAAATTACAAAAATTTTTAGATGGCTAATTTAATTTTCATAAAAAATTAATAACTAAAATTTGACAAATAAAAACAAAAATTTACCTCAGTTTCTTCAACGCGTCTCAGCGTTTTGGTCACCCGAAGAATAATCTCCGCAGCATTGAGATCCGGCCTCTTTTCAACCGCACTGACAGTCCCACGAGCAACAAGATCACTCTTGCAGTAAGTTTCAGCGAGCTCTTCCTTAGTGCAAGGCCTGCACTCGGTTTCCTCGTCCCTCCTAATTTTTTTCCCCTCGTTGTCAACATGCTCCAGCTCTAAGTCATACCTCAGCTTGACAGTTCCACGGGTCGGCGTCGTTTCGTCGGCCTCCACGTAGAGCGCGGCCAATTGTCCGCGGGAATGGAAGCACCGATGCAACGCTTCGTGCTTTCCGTCACCGGGGGCATAAACCAACCGGAGAGTGCCCTTGCCCTCGAGGTAAACTCGTGCGGGACCTGAAGCTTTCACGCATCCTCGGAAACTTCTGCCGTCACTTCCTCCAGATAATACTACTCTTAAGGCTCCTCGTGGGTAGCGCCACGACACTGTGCCTCTGGAACATCTCAGATAAACTGGACGCACTCCTCGACCGCCGCCACCACTGAAAAATAAAAGTAAAAATTTTAATTTTGAATTGAAGTAGTTTTTTTTTTTTTTTTTTTTTTTTTTTTTTTTGACAGAAACTAATTTTTTATGATCCTGAAGTTAACTGACAGCTGTCAATTTTTTGATTTTTGTAATTATTAAATTTTTATGAAAAAATTTTGACATTTAGAAATTAAATAAAAAAAATTTTTTTATGAAAATTAATTTACCATATATTTATGACACTGAAGTTAGCAGACGTCAAAAAATTTTTGATTTTTTTTTTTTTAATTAAATTACAACTAAAAAAATATTTATAAAAAATTGCACTTATAGTTTTTCAAGTTTTTAACATGTGATATTTTTTTTTT